CATAGCAACAGACGACAGAGTTGTTGCCTCTCTCAGACCCAAATTCCCCAAATATTTATCAAGTACCTATACAGTACTAGTGCTTAAAGACTGTCCTCTCAGACCCTTCAAATATATATTTCGTTCTCCATCCTCATAACAACCTAAGAGACTGATTCTATTATCTTCAGTTCACAGACACAAAAATGGGTTCAAAGGAGTGAAATGACTGTCCCAAGGTTACAACAGGAGGGTGAGCTGCTGCTCCTTCCGGAAGCCCACGTTCCACTTCTAGACACCTGGCTGCACACTGATGCTCCCTTTGTTCAGCTGGTTTGTTAGAACAATCCACCAAGATGCCTTGAGGACTCATGACTCTTCCAATAACAGAACAGAGGGGTGCCTGGGTGGCTCAGTTGGTTAAGCGACTGCCTTCAGTTCAGGTCATGATCCTGGAGTCCTGGGATCGAGTCCCGCATCGGGCTCCCTGCTCAGCAGCAAGTCTGCTTCTCCCTCTGACCCTCTCTTCCCTCTCATTCTCTCTCACTCTCTCTCAAGTAAATAAAATCTTAAAACAGACAAAAACAAACCCCACCAAAAAAAAAAAAACAAAAAAACAAAAAACAGAACAGCAGCCCAGAACACCAAGGTGCACAGTGGGATTCCCAGCCAGGATGAATGAAAAAATGAGCCTAGAGTGAGGTTTAAACAAGTGACTTTGGCTGACTAGATCTTCTGATTCTATTGGTCCACTCTCTGTTTCATAAGAGACTGCCTTTTCAATTCCAAGGGCAGCAAGTGAAAAGGTCACTGTATAAGCAACAGAGAAAATTAGGACAAATTAGAGTACAGGAAATGCTTTCTGACGATTTCCTCAGGGCTCAGATAATTATTATTACCTCTTCCCCCCCGAGGTAGACTTCTCTGCGGTGATCAGATATAATTTGATAGCCAAATGCAAAATGTCTTGTTAAATGGACTTCCGTTTAAATGCCTAATTTATTTATTTTGATTGCTTGGTTGTTCATTTGTTGTACTTGGAGATCTTGACAAATGCTAAATGCTGGTTGTGAAAGCTTATATATGGTTTTTCACTTATTTTTTTTTAAGATTTTATTTTATTTATTTGACAGACAGAGATCACAAGTAGACAGAGAGGCAGGCAGAGAGAGAGAGAGGAAGGGAAGCAGGCTCCCTGCTTCAGAGAGAGCCCGATGTGGGGCTCGATCCCAGGACCCTGGGATCATGACCTGAGCCGAAGGCAGAGGCTTTAACCCACTGAGCCACCCAGGCGCCCCCACTTATGTTTTGAGACAATAATCATTTTTCTGATTTAGTTACCACAAATACAATTTCAAAAGTTAAGCAATCATTTCATACATTTTGGGGTTTTTAGTTTTTGTTTTTTTTTTTTAAGTTTCTGCTAACATCAATATTTTTCTCCCTCAGAATCTAAGGTCTGTTAGAATGATGTAAAGGGTACTTTTTAGTTTTAAATCTCCTAGATAATTCCTTAAATGCTATCCTCGCTTTTAAGAAATGTCTTTAGGGGGGAAAAAAAAAAAGAAATGTCTTTAGGGAATCGGAGAGGGAAAACTAAAATGACAGCAGAAGTCCTGTTTTAGAGGGAGTGGTGGACCCTAATTACCAGCAAAGTGGGACCATGTGTAAAAATGTGTACAAAGCAGGCTGAGAAGGCAGAAAGTTATGCTGAGACATGTACATGCTGCTTTAGGAAAAGGAGCAACCTAGTTTTTCAAAGGTATAGCCGAAAGTCTTCCTAATTTTTTTCTTTATCCCATGGAATTGGGATATATATGGATATAGGCTCATTTGGTTTGGAATCAGGGTAAGGCTGTTTCTAATTGCATTCTGGCCCCCTTGAATATACAGACAAATTTGCTCACATCCACAAAATTATCTTAAAAGAAATACATATATCCTGCCAGAGATCCTCTGCTGGACACCTACTTCCTGGCCTCCTTCAGGATGGGGCTGTGGCATCTCCTTCTCTAGGAAATCCTTTATAGCACCACTCTCCCCACCAAAAGGCTGTCTGGGGTAGCCTTCCCCAACTCTCAACCCCCTACCCCCGTTGTCCTGTGACTGTCTGGTTGAATCAGAGCTTCTAGAGGGCGGGCCTGCCAGGCAGTGGTCCTCTGAAGAAAATGTATTTAAAGGGGCACCTGGGTGGCTCAGTCAGTTAAGTGTCTGTCTTCGGCTCACGTCATGATCCCAGGGTCCTGGGATCGAGTCCCGAATTGGGCTTCCTGCTCAGTGGGGAGCCAGTTTCTCCCTCTTCCTGCCGCCCCCCCCGCTTGTACCCTCTCCCTCTCTATCTCTCTCTCACAAATAAATTTATAAAATCTTCAAAAAAAGAAAATGTATTTTAAAATCTAAAATGGCTATTTGCAGTCTGCGAAATCACTTTCCTCAGTGGCTCTTTGTGAGCCTTCAAAGGTCATGTTTCAGATTCAGATTTTCTGGCTTATTCTGTGTGATTATAGTCCCACTGTTATTCATGCTATCATGCAATTTGACAATTTGTAGATCATGGGCTTTTAATTAGCATGTAGATCGATCAGAATCAACTGCTTCCACCAAGAAAGGCAGAAGCTGGCCTGTGCCTCTTCCTCTCTGCAAATCTAAGGGAAAGTTGCCATGACCTAGGTAAGTTCCTTTGAAGATGTTGCTAACTTGTACGAACAATCATTATAATGATACGATGCATACATGCATTCTTTCCCAATATTCATGGTACTTTCATGTGTAACAAAGGATGGGTAGGTATAATGTGGTACACAGGACTTGAAAGCAAATAGGTTTGGAGTGAGGAGACCTGGCTGCAAATTTTGGCTCAATCATAAATTTTGCTACTTCGAGCAAGTCACTTACCATAGCCTTAGTCTCCACATCTGTAAAATGCATTCAGTAATATCCACTCTGCCTATCCTGTAGGTTTATTATTAGGCTTACCTGAGATGCTTCCTAACTTTGCCCACTTCATAGAAGAGGATAACTTTTGTTTAGCACCCTGGGGTAAATGCAAAGGTTCTGAGGTTAGAGGCGATCACTTCTAGATTCTAGCTGCCCTGCCTGACTATCCCAAGGGATAAAGGGATTGATAGCTTTATACATTTGTATACTAATTGGGAAGCTCTGCTCTACGAAAATATTTAAAACAAACCTTAGTTGTGTGTCTATACACACATTCAACATTTATAAATATTCTCCTGTTTTTACTCCTCTACATATAAAATGCTGGGTTAGAGCTGTCCTACAACCCAGCAATTGCACTACTGGGTATTTACCCCAAAGATACAAACATAGTGATCTGAAGGTGCACCTGTACCCCCAATGTTTATAGCAGCAATGTCCACAATAGCCAAACTCTGGAAAGAGCCCAGATGTCCATCAACAGAGGAATGGATAAAGAAGATATGGTGTATATATACAATGGAATATTACACAGCCATCAAAAAGTGAAATCTTGCCATTTGCAACAATGTGGATGGAAGTAGAGGGTATTATGCTGAGCAAAATAAGCCAATCAGTGAAAGGCAATTGTCATATGATCACACTGAAATGTGGAATTTAAGAAACAAGGCAGAGGATCATAGAGAAAGAGAGGAAAAAATGAAACAAGACAAAACCAGAGAGGGAGACAAACCAGAAGAGACTCTTAATCTCAGGAAACAAACTGAGGGTTGCTGGAGGGGAGGGAGTGGCTGGGTGATGAACACTGGGGAGGGTATGTGCTATGGGCAGTGCTGCGTATTATGTAAGACTAATGAATCACAGACCTTACCCCTGAAGCAAATAATACATTATATGTTATTAATAATTTTAAAACAACAACAAAAAATAAATAAAATAAAGTGATAGAACCTTGGACCATGGCCATCACATGTCAGAACATGAACAAGATTTTACACTCTTGTCACCTTGGATGTCGTCTGTCTCAACACTGTGCTTTCAATCATACCTTATCCTTAAAATTATCCTTAAAATTAGTGATTTGGGGGAAAAAAAAACCACTTAACTAATCACTATGGTGATAATTTAGAGAAGTGAAATATTTTGTTGCCTTCAACTCACAGCCAGATCACTTGAAGCTGTAGGAAGGCTGGCAAAATCTCTATCTGTGAGCTAAGCATGTTATACTTGTCCCTGTCTGGGCTCATGTCCCTCTCTCTATAAGTGCATCTCTGTCCGTGTTCTACTCTGGAGGTAAGAACCATTAACCTAAGGCTGGAGCTTCCACATGTCCGTGAGGGTTACAGTAGGACCTAGATTATCCAGTTGTTGGGAAGAACACGATGTTAACATATGAGAGGGGCTTAGAAGAGTTCTGGGCAGGCTTCATCAGTGAAGAGCTCTTTGCCTATTTATTATGATTCAAAACCTGATCAAAACCTGATCAGTCCGTTTTGGAGAGACAGAGGGACAACATACAATGACTGTGCTCTGGGGAATTCTTTCATAAAGAATTTCATATTGTTAGACTCTACCACTCAAATGGCAGCAGCAGCATCTGGGAGCTTTTAGAAATTCAGAGCCTCACATCTACAACATCAGAATCTGCATTTTAACAAGACCCCCAGGTGACTTGTGAGCGCATTCCAGACTGAGTAGTGCTGCACTGGAGTACTTCAAGCCTCATGGGGGACCCATGGGTCAACGTATTTTTGGTAGGCATCATGCAAAAGCAGGACTGACTCAGAAAATCTGCTGCTGTTGCTGTATTTGGAATGTAGCTTGGAGGCAGGGGGGCTGTCCATGTGCATGCACCTCCCCAGTTGGAAAGCAGCCCCTTCTGCATCAAAAGGCTCTGTGCAAGGGACCGTGAGAGCACCCGTCAGCACGGACTCAGAGGAGCAAGTCTGAGATGCCGTCACTGTTCTAGCATGTTTGCGGGGGAGGAATAAATACAAACACAGTACTTTACAAAGGAGGCGATATCATTAGGAAATAGAAAGGAACGTTAGAAGTGTGTATGGGGAAAGGAGGAAGTCACTTACGTTAACCCAGGGGTGCTCCAAGACCTGCACAGCTGAAAATCGCTGATCGACATCGACCAACAGCATCATGGTGATGAGTTCCTGTGGAAGGGAACATTTGATTCCATTTGTCTCATTTTTATGGTAAAACTCTGAGCATTTTCCTACGATGAAGTTCTCTTTTAGTTTAGAAAAGCTCTACGTTTTAAATATATCAACTCAGCTTACCCACAGGAATCTAATACCCTTAGAAGTTAAAGAAAAGGTCAATACTTAGAATTATAAATATATGGTGAGAAAAAAAAATAAAGATTAGGATAAATTTCACTGAAGTGCATTTAGTAGAGAAGAAATAAATTAAACAAGTTAAAGGATTAATATTCCTTTGTCTAGAATTTCGCACTTTAATGGAGATTTCTAGGTTAGCTTAATACAGAAATCTGTTAACATTGCTTCAAAAATTTCCACATCAATCAATACCAATAAAATGGAACTATTAAGGGGCAAATGATTTAATGGTTCGGAAATTAAGGAGACTTCCTCATGAGTTCAAAATGATTTGGACCAGGAAAGCACAGCTTGAGTTTTAATGATGAGTCTGTCACACACTTGTCCACTTTGGAATAGAAGTTCCCATGTAACAAAATGGTTAGATGTGTTATCCAGGTCCTTACAGTCATGGGGTCTGACTACCATTCTGTGATGAGGATGATTTATTTTCACTGATGTAGAGATTCTACCATAAAGTTCTCATTATGTTCTTCTCCTGCTTCAGGCTCCTCTGTGCAAGAAGGCATTCATTCACTTTCCAACATGGGCCAGGACTTATTAAAGCAACGAGCTGGTGTGATGCCCTTTGCAGGTGGCATGGGGATGTGGGAGATGGTACTCTCTGTCAATGACCTGGAGCCCTCGTTTATGGACTGAAGGCACTGAGAGGTAGAGAGGTTTCTGAAAAGACTGCTCACAGGCAAAAATACCTCTACCCCCACAGAAAAAGTCAGGTTATAAATTGAAGTCACACTCAGGACACAGAGAAGGAAAGGCTTATACAATGAATAATCAAAAGTCAATTATTTATCAACATCAATTTGTTAAAAATTTAAGTCAATGCTTGGAGACATTAAGGAGTCAATTAAAAGGTTTTCTTTTTTATCTCGAGTTCTACCAATGTCTCCATGTAAGATTTTTGCAGTTTTCTTAGAGGCTGATCTCCTATTCATTCATTTTAATACATGTTAAGCCTGTATACATACTGGTTAAGCACTAGTTATATACTGGTCACTACATCGGGGTTTTATATACTGGTCACTACATCGGGGTTGATGATACAGCAATAAACAAAATACACAAAAATCCTTGTCTTGATGAAAAGTAAGGGAAAACTGGAAAATAAATGACACAAGTAAGATGTATACACCTACCTATATCTACCTGTCCAGAAAAGTAAACAGATAGAGAAAGGTAGGTAGATGGTATACCAGAAGGACACGTGGGTGTAAGGGCTACCAGAGAAAAACAGAGCAGATGAGGAACATTAGGCAAACTAGGTAGATTAAAGATGCATCTGAAAACATAGTGGTCTAGGATAGCTTCCCTGAGAGGGTGAAATTGAGTTGAGACCCAAAAGAGGTAAAGCCACAAGCTACGACAACATTTAAGGTTGTCTCGTGTGGCAAGACACAGTGTAACTGGAGTGACAACAGGAAGCAATGAAGCCAGAAAACAGAGACGTTTGGTAAGTTGGGATGGCGACAAAGAGATGACTTGATGACCGTGGACTCCTGGCAAACCCAGTAATTAAACAAAAATGGACAGAAATCTTATCTACAACATCATTAGGTAAAACTGCATTAAGACACACAGGGTCTCGGGAAAAGGAAAGGCACTGGAAACCTACCTTCGCTGAATCAGAAACGTTATCCCAGTATGGAGAGGGAAAGTCCACTTGCCCCATCAAAATTTGATCGAAAAGCACCTCCTGGTCATCACCGCTTCTGTTTACATGAACCACAACAAGGAAAAACACAGCACTAAAATGTTAACCCAGGGCATGTCTCTCCACTCTTCTGCATTCGAGCCCTTCCTTTCCCCATAAGTGTGTAAAATGTGTGTTTTTAAGCTATTCAAAATGTCAATATGGAACTGTTTTGGACAATTAGGAAAGAATGAGTTTTTAAATTCTATGAGGGGGATTTATGGAAGGCATGTAAATGAGTGTGTACAACATAGAAAAAATAACAGGCACTGGAAGTCAAGTTCTTCCATCCACTTCCTGCTTCAGGCTCCTTTGTGCAAGAAGGCGGAATGGATCACTCAGAGAGTACAGAAATGCTTTGTTGGTGCTGAATAAAAGATGACTGCCCATACCCACGGAACGGAGGGAAACCGCACAGCAGGATGTAAGTGATTACACCAGCTGCCCAGATGTCCACCTTGAGGCCATATCTGCAAAAGTAAGTGACGTTAGAGTTAGCACAAGTCAAGCCGGGACAAATTATGGGGCACTGGCAAAATAGATGACTCTACTATTCTAAATCAAAAACCAAACTCAACAAAATTTAAAACCCAACAACAAACACTAAATGAAAACCCACCAGCTAAACAGAATTCAAGGAAAGAATAATTAAAAGAGAGAGAGAGAGAGAGAGAGAGACTGTCTAAGACATATGAATAAAAATCAAAGGAAAGCATGTCTAGGATCATATCCAAGTATCAGTAAGTGAGAGAGGTTTCATCAAAAAGGTTTATTACGGTCATATCAGTTTTAAGATGGGGATGGACCCTTGAAACGATCTAAGTCCCAATGTTAAAAAACATAATTACATCCAGGACATTTTCCAGTTCGTAAAGCACTGACGTACATTATCTTATGCTGTTTTTCCATCACTCTACATTATACGGGATAAGTGCTGTTGCCTATTTTATAGAGGAGAAAACCGAGGATCAGAGGGGTAGTCTTGCTCAAGATCACACAGTTAGTGAGTGGCAGAGCAGGGTTCCAAGCAGAGTTTCCAAGAGCCTGACTCAATCGTCTTTCTCCTCTGGGCTCCTCCCTCCCAGCAGGCTGTCAGAGTACTCCCGGTAGAAAACTAGGAGATGTAGCTGGCTATACCGGAGGCAGCATGCCCCGAGGGAGGTCGGCAAGTTTACAAATGTTGGCTCCCAACTCACTCAAATTTGACGAATAAAAAAGTCCTCATTTACCCCCAACCCCACCTTAGGGATCTCCCAATTGGCATTCCCTTCTCATCTATTCTGTTCCTCTGCCTTTCTGGTCAAAGGTCAAGCAGTAAAACTATCTTCCACGGGTCACAGGGGAGGATACAACCTAGACCCTCAGTTGTGGGTTTGTGCCACTCATTGAGGGGGAAAATGTAAGGCCATTTCCCCTTGGTGCAACACCCTTCCCCAATCCTTCTGTGTGAGGCTAGTGCTTCAGAACTTGGCCTATGATCTCTGGCAAGAAATAGGGCTCTCTATGGAAAGAGCCCTTTATTCACACAGCCCTGAGTTCAAATTCTGACTCAGCCACTATCCAGTCATGAGCTTCCAGGATACCCAACCACAGCAGCAAGATTATTCATGTGCAAAATGGGAATCATACAGTCTACTGGATGAGTTAAGAATCAAGCAAAGGAGCTTACGCCTGGCAGAGAGTAGGTCCTTAGTAAGTGTTGTGCCACCCGCCTTCTCCCCCCACTCTAGAGATTTTCATTCATCTGATACCGCTGCACACAGACACCAGAAAATTCCCAGTGGCCCTCTGATGCCTAAGGGTGTTTGTCCTGCACAGATAATCAATGGACCGCCAAGAGAGCCAAAATGAGAGTGGGACAGGAGAATAAGGATATCGGAGAGAAATAACCACAGGAGACTGTAATCACCGCACACAGCAGTGTCTGTTTCTTTTATCCAAAAGCAAGTTAATTACCATCGCTGTATGTTTCTCTGTTCATCCAAACATTTTTTACTCTGGGGTTAATAACTGCTGTTCTACCTTTAACAAAGGCCACATGGAAGCCTTGAACAAGATTGCGGTAATTGGCAACTTGATTGGAGAAACAGAGAAAATGGCTCTCACTTTAAAGTTAAAAAAAAAAAAAGAGTTGAAAGAAATCTGATAGCTAATTCTGTCTGGATGGGACAGGGCTGTTTTCTCCTATTCTCGAAGCAGACTAGTTCTTTGGCAAGCACAGCACTCCAATAAACCGCGGAAAGCATTTACCCAGTTTCTGCAATGATTTCTGGAGCCACGTATGTTGGGGTGCCACAGACCGTGTACAGGGGGCCGTCTACAATGGTGGCCAGTCCAAAGTCACCCAGCTTCAGCGATTTGCTGCCATCTTGGTGTTCGTACACCTAAAGTAAAAGTAAAGAGTGAAATCGCCTTACAACCAAGAGCTCAGAAGCTCTTTCTTGAAGGGACGATGGGCATTGTGGTTTAAATTTATCATAAAGTGGAAAAAAACCCCAGGTAATTATGCAACGACAGACATACAAGAGTATCTTTTTTTAGATTACTGCAGAACTGGAAACATGGTGAACAGCCAGCAAATGGAAATTCAATAATAGATGATGGTACGTTGATTCAGTGGGACACTACATGACCCTTAACGTGGTGATGTGAATTTATGTCTATTGAAATAAATTATTTGGGGAAAATAAGGGCAGATTTCAGACTGGTTTGCATGAAATGGGTACTAAAGAAAAAAATATATGTGCCAAGAAAATTGTCTGAAAGAACACAGTGTTAGTGTGTCTGTCTCTCGGTGGTAGGATTATGGGAGACTTTTTTTCTTTGCTTATCTGTACTTAATGTTTTCTACAATTAAAATTGATTTGTGTAATACAATGAAATACAGAAAGTCTCCAGTGCAGTACCTCCAGTTTATGAAAAGAATTACCTCTCTATTTTAATATGTAAGAAGCTTTAAAAAAACAGAAGTTCTTTAGTAATTGAACAACAACAACAAAAATCTACACGTATATTAAAATACTTCATTTTCAGTGGCCCACATTTCCAACAAAATCTATTTACATTTTTTTATTAATAATTGAAAGGGATATTAACATTTCATTTCACCTGTGGCAATTTGGAAAGATTTATCAGGTGCAGAGTCAGCATTCGGTCCAGGTTTCCTTATTAAGGCAGTAAAAGCCTCTAGTCTTTCACCCAACAAATCAAGAAAAGGATGCTTGGGACCATAGACAAGTATTTATACCACTTTAATTCCAGCCCATGATCAAACCAAATGGGTCTGCTCCAAAGAGTATCCACTTCTACTATTTCAAAGGAAAGATCAAAGGGCATTCAGAATTCTAATTCAGGGCCCTCCACTGGAATCAATAGGAGAAAGAAAAACACAGTTAAAAGCTAGTATTCCCAGCAAAGGCACAGGAGATGCCTGGAGGACACGGTGAAGTTTTCCGTGTACATCAAAATAATTCATCCTGCAAGTAGAAGCCTGCATGTTCTTCTGTTGCCTCCTTGTGATCGCGTGTATGTGATACAGCGGTCAGAACCTCTCTCACAGCAAGACGCATCTCCACACATCAGGAGCCCCACGACCGCTCACACACCACATCTCCCTTTCTTTGGAGAAAGTATATTAACTTCTCCTTTTCCTGCAGCTTAAAGTGCAGATGTTTGGCTGGCTAAGCTTCAGCATCAGCATCGATCATTTGCATCTAACTGTTTTGGCAGAGGCAGGGAGTTCGAGCTTCCTTTCTGGAGAGACCGGGTCTTTTCTGGGCAGAAAATATCCTTTTACATTTTCTCCACACTCAGAGCATGGAGTCTTCTCCTTAAGGGCTTGACCACCATCTAGTCTGAGCTCTCGGGCAGGTGTCCGGAGGCTGGCGGGGTCACCAGCGCATAGGCTGTTAGGGCAAAAACGGCCGTGTGTCCCTCGTAGGTGTGGCTTTGCCCAGCTGTCATCTGGGATGGACAGGGTCCTCCCTCCTTTAAGAAAGCAGCTCTCCAGCCCATCAGCCCAAGCAACTGAGGTGTTGGAGCTGCAAAGCACAATGTATGTCATTCCCAGGCTACGCGTTCATGGGCAAAGGAAATCCCTAAATCATAGTCTTAGCACCTCAGCCATTCTGGTCATCCAGGTGACAAGCAAATGTTTTTCATGAACAGAAACCCGAGATGGAAACATCTAGAAGATCATCTAGCTTATTTCCCAGACAGAGAAGAATTGTTTACTTCCTTAATTCCATTTTGCTACTTTAATTCCATTTGTTATTTCCTAAAAGGTAAAATCATCTCCGGTTTTGATGTTCTGACAGGTCCAAACATCCATGGTGCCTGTTTTCGGAGGTGGTGTAGATTTCAATTTACACAACTCCATTTATGCAGGAATTCTGTGGTTTTCCTCTAAACATAGTATCTATGATCACCTAACTTAGTGCAAAAGTTGGACGAAAAGCGATGTTGGCAGATGGAGTCGTAAGTCCCATTTTGGTTCTTAAAATGACCATGTAATTCTCCTTTAGCAAAGGTTTTATTTTTGAGCATCTACATTTGACTAGGAATTCTACCTCACAGACAGCCATATGCCAGTTACATTTAATATACTGAGCAATAAAGTTCAAAGTTTCTATTCCTAAGGGGAAAAAAAGCACCAAAAAAATCTTAACTAAAATAATGAAAATTAGGATTACATAAAAGTAATAATTCTTTCAAATAAACCAACAACATTTAAATAAAACACACAGAATCCATCATCTTAACGCTCTTTTTATCTCTATCACTTCCACCATGTCCCCCTCCTCTGCTTTGAAAAAGCACACAGAATTTTCATGGACATAAAGAGGTTAATGTGATGCTTATGACAGGCAATAAGAACGAGAGACAAAGGCCTGATCCCCGTAACTGAAAACACTTCTAGACACCACTATGTTCGCAATGCTCCAGCAAAACGTTTTTGCAGGTGAATGAATGTCCAGGACTCTCGATTGGAATTCTGTTTAACTTACTTACTGTCAGGCAGGGCAGGAAACAAGGTTGCTCTGGGTTTTTCTCTGTCAACACTTTGGGAGAAGGATACAGAAGAACATACTCCAGAGTATCCTCACCTCCGATGGGAGCGCACCTTGCCCAAGCAGTATAATCAGCCCGCCTCACAACTGGGGTTCCCTGTTAGCCCTTGGGCCAACCCAAGCTGGGCTCAGCCTTCTCTCTTACCAAGCCACTTACAGAGGGGCACGAGGAGGGCCACTGGAAAATGTAATTAAAATTCTGGTAAAACCACAGATTGCTACATACATCTGTTTCAAACACACGTGTACATGTACACACACACACACACACACACGTGCGCGCGCGCGCGCGCACACACACACACACACACACACACACACTCATTCACTCACAAAACCATCTCCAGAAAGTATTTTCCCAAATGGCAGCTATAAATTTACTTTGAACTAAGTTTTTAATTAAGAGTTAGAAATGGGAAAAGCCTCTAACAAGTTCACATTTAAAATATGGAGTCCTTGGCTTATACCGCCCCTGAATCAACTCTGACTCTGTTCCTCTGGCTGTCCCCCTGTCCTGACCATCTTCCAGGAGGGACATTTAACAGGCTGCAAGCACAGGCTTGGGCAACCCGATCCAGCAAGTGGGGTTCCGGTGTTAAAAAAAAAAAAGGGCTTTTTGTTATAACTGTATTTTAAAGCCTCCATAAAACAGGACCCACAGGTGAGGTGGGAGTCCACTGATTGTCAATCAATGACTATTCGCAACATGAGATATAATTTAATGTTCATCCCAAGCCCCTTAAATACTATAGATGTTACCCCACATTTTAAACACTGAGGGGCTATTAAAAAGACGGGGATTAGTGCAAATTACCAGTATGTAGTGCTTTCACTGTTTTAACTAAGCAATAAAACTGTGTAATTGTACAACACTAATTGAATGCAGCTACACGTAATTGTGGCCTGCCATATGTATCCTATTACCATAAAGATTGTCAGTATTTTGTAAGCTACTCTTATGATCATTGCAGATGGCTACAGTCAGAGAAGTTGTTCTCTAGGGTTTATTATATGGCTATAAAGACATCCCGTGATTTGACAGACTAAATGTGTTAAATGGCAACAATTATGAAAAAGGTTCCAATTAAAAGCTGAAGGCATGTCCCACCAAGAACAGATATAGGGAAAGGTCAGGTATGAAGTTTTTGGCACGCTGGCATTTTACACAGGGTTTTTCCTTTTTGAGCAAGAGTTTTCTTTTTGTTTCTTTTTCGTTTATTTGGGGTTTTGCAGTAGCTGTAACTTGCTGAACAGTAGATGTCTGGGCATAGGCCTGATTTCCTCTGGATTAGAAACTGAGACCATTTGGAAAAGTTATTTGAAAAAATAAAAGATTTAATATATAGTCATAAAATGCAGCTGGTGGCCATAAAATAATATGAAAATTCACAGATAACCTGAACCCAAGCAAATGGTTTCTGAGATTCCCATAATAGAGAACTAAAAGCTGACTAATATAACAGATGTGTTGGAACAAACATAATTCTCAATGTTGCTATGAATTCAAGGATAACCCTGTTGAAATGCTGGCTAATGAATCATTAATATCCATGGAAATATTTTTCACAGAGGAGCTCGATAGGTACTAAAAAATAATTTCACCAAATTGAACAGAACTGAACAAAAGTGGCATGAAAGTGACAAAGCCATGAAAAAAAGTCAATTGACTTTTTCGCAACTATGGTATACCTTTAAAAAGACATTGATCTTCCTCCGGCCATGGTATATGGTCTTTATAGTCCTTTCTAAGGAAAATGAATTAAATTTAAATCTTTACTCTTTAAGAAGTGAAGCAAAACAACATTAATGCAGAAAATTATTTTACAAAATGCATGTTAGGGTCCACATACTTTAAAATGAAATCTCCTGAGAAAAAAAAAATTCCTAAAAAAACAAACCCACTTTGTACCCAGGTGTAAAATCTTTGTGAAATCAAAGGTTAAATGAAATAAGAAGAGTCAACATTGTATAGCCCAAGTCAGAAGAGGAGTAACAATATCAGAGGGAGAAATAAAATAGCTTTCAAAATATTACTCTAGAGAGATCTGGGAAGATGGAGGATGAGTGGGAACTCCAGGAAACCTGATTCTCATCCTCACTTTAAAATAGTCATGAAACAGGGCGCCTGGGTGGCTCAGTGGGTTAAGCCGCTGCCTTCGGCTCGGGTCATGATCTCAGAGTCCTGGGATCGAGCCCCGCATCGGGCTCTCTGCTCTCTAGGGGAGCCTGCTTCCTCCTCTCTCTCTGCCTCTCTGCCTGCTTGTGATCTCTCTGTCAAATAAATAAATAAAATCTTAAAAAAAAAAAAAAAGTCA